ATTCTGAGGTGAGAGTAGTGTCTGTGTTTGTGGAGAAAGGCAGACTATATTGATAGGTTAGGGAACTTATCGATAAAGTAATTTATTAAAGCCACTTGATGTATATTTCCTCACCTCTTTCCATTATCGATTATGCATAACAGTCATATGTTTGTCTTTGCTCAGCTTTCTTGTCCTGTCCATGTGTTTCATTATACATTGTTATCAGTGTGCACTAGGTGTAAGTACATTGAGAGCCAGTGTAATCCAGAATCAAATAACTTGTATGCACTATACGATACGCCTGCTCACATGCTGACAGTGACTCCTCAGTTCGTTTGTCATTGCTGCTCCCTTCATCTCTATCAGACATTTTCTTATGTATAAATACTTTGAGCGTTGACACACTTTTCCGTGATGTTACAAACTGTTTCTTCTAAGCAGTGTTTTAAATACTGTTATTTTGTTAATGTGCCCAGTTACACGCGACATCTATTGCACATCCTGGGAGAGGGATCCCTCACATGTGACTCTCTCCGAGGTTTCTACATTTTTTTTTTCTGCTTTTGTGCTATTTTTCCTTACTCTTGTTGAGGGTTAAGAACAGAGGATGTCACACCTTGTTAAGCCCTATGTGACTAATTGTGATTTGTGAATATGGGCTATACAAATCAAATTGGATCGGATTTCATACTTTGCCAATAAAGTTGATTCTGATGATAAAACATAATGGGAAGCTTTTCACATCAAAAATTAAGAATACCTTACGAGGTAGTTTGTATTCCCTATAACAAATCATTTCTACTCTTTTCCCCCCAACAGAACTTTCATGAACAACACTACAGATGATAAGGCACTATGCCAATGAAAAGGGTTACACTCAGATGCGCACAGATTCCAAACCACAAATGTAATTACATTTAGAACATTTTTCAACGCAGGAGAAAATCACTGACGTGTTATTCATGCTCCCTCTGTGACAGAGACCAATGACCACTGTGAGAGTCTGGGCGAAGTATGATTGATTTTCTTTCCACAATCGTTTTTTAGTGTCTGCGAAATTGATGAGCATAGAAATATAAACTGCCACAGGAACAAAAGTTCAGCCTTTCGACATTAAAGCAACATACAGTGAAAAAGTAAAGTGAGCAGACGGCAGGGGAGATGAGATGGACTGGGCGAAATGAAAGGAGACCCCACTCCTCTCCTGCCCTCTGGTTTCACCAGATCAATAAAACTCTGTCAGGAGCTGAATGTTAAAACCAGCGCAGACAGGATTCACAGCTCGTAAGTGACGAGCACATCACACACTTCTCCTCAGGGCTGCACACATGATGCAGCCTGAACACTCAGAGCACAACTTCCCAGATGTCTTCTGGGTACGACAGTACTGAGAGAAAACAAGAGAGCCCTAACAGCTGCTGTGACCTATAAATAACCTGACCTTACCAGATATGCTCTCTGACTCCGACAGTCAGGTGTGAGACCTTAACGAAGAGCAGCATTTCAAACACAAAGCAAAAACCCACTGACCTTTAACACAAAACAATGATGTGTCCAGTCAGCCAGAGATAGGGATGAGGCGTCCGCCAGCATTTTCAAAATAAAAACCCCAATGAACCATTTCCAACATGTTCTAGTGCTACAACCTAAGACAACAACTAAGTATATAATAATATATCATAAAACAGACCAACCACAGTGATGCATCTTCTGCTTTATACTTATTTGGCTCCAAGCTAGCTGGTTTGTTGTGTGAGTAGAAACAAAGCTGGTTTGTTTTGTGTGTAGAAATTTCAAACCCAAAATGTGCCACTTGAACGTTTGTTGGCTCACTGACCTAAGATCAGAGCAACACAAAACGATCAATGCATCCGGAAAGTTCATTGTCATACTCACTGAAATTTAATTGAATACAATCCCACTTGTTTTTCCTTCGTGACGCTGCTTGATCCCTCAGTTTACTGCCATTGAATCAAGTGGAGGCGAAACCATCGTCTATATGATTTGCTTCTTTTTATATATAATAGCTTGTAGCTTTGTTAAACATTCTATTAAAACAGGTTCGATTAGGTTGGTTTTGGGATGAGCTGTATCGATTATGTCCGCGATGGCTTTAAAATACGATGTTACAGGTGACAGAGGCTGGTTTTGCTAAACAGCTCGTTAACGTTAGCCGATCGTTCGCCTCTGAGGTTTGAGACACTTCGTGGGCTTTAACATGACTCAGCCTAACAGGACTGGGGGCTGGGTGTCTCATAAACATTAGCCTGCTAGCTACAACCAACATCGCTTTACCAGACCAGGAACACAGAGCTTAGATTAGCAGTTAGCGTTAGCTCCGCTGGCAACAGCGCTCCCATATGATGACATTAGCTTGGCTTTTGAACGCGTTAGCATGATCGACACGCTACATGGACACCAGCCGAGTGGAGCGATGATAACAGCGAGGTGTTACCTGCTATAGCGGGTCCCTCGGGTCATCCAGGCTTGAGCATGGCAGAGATAAACACCCGCAGCAGCAGCAGCCTGTCAGGGGCTGTTTACTCGGATCATCTGGCTTCACAGCTGCACTCACTGTTAGCCTCCAGTGGCCACCGGGTTGCCAGACTTCATAGAGGAAACGCGCAATCTAAGCCGTCAGAATAGCGCGTGTGTGTGGGGAGGAATCCTGAACACAACAAGTCAAATGAGACGACTAGTGATCCATGCACGTAGTAACACGCTGAGACTGTAACAGGTTCATTGAAGTGACCCAGATGCATCGGCAACACAAAGACGGATTCACACTGCCCTCTACTGGCCAGCATCGGGTCTCTGACCATTTAATACAAGTGTATGTAAAGCATCAGACATCCTGTGAAAACAGCTGGGTTCATTTTATTTAGTTATTTATTAATTTATTTTATGTATTTTCTATGTTTCAGTGGAGACCTGGCCAGGACAGCAGCGTCACGTATTTCTCAGATGAAACAATCCTAAAAACCAGGAGACAATGTATGAGGGTTGAAATAAGCAAATCAGCAGACGGCTACAAAACAAGCTGTCAATGTTAAGAAAGATGAAAAAAGGAGCTTAAAACAGGGGATGAAGCATGTTCCATAGAGTTTACAGCAGCATCACTCTCCATCTCCCTCTGCAACCTGTTCTGCAGCAGAAAACACGAGAGCTTTCTTGCTTTTCATCTGTGCCCCTACACCAGGAGACAGACGTGTTGGGTGATCTTAGATTTTTATTGAGGGAGGAAGTTTAACTTTGTCAACTCTTTGTGATATATCAGGATTTTCTCATTTTGGGCTTTGGCGACAGCAAGTTTACTTCTGAGAGACTGCATTACAAACTTGGGAAATTGAATCCTGAATTTATCAACCTGTTAAAAGTACCGATTTGGACTTAAATGAAGCATGGAAATGCTAGTAACAAAAGTATGAATAAAAACTGTTTATCAAACTTCTTTTGGCTAAAAAAGCTCTCTAAGCTTAGGTTTACAGATTTCAAGTCTGTCAGAAAAACAATAGTAAGGCCCTGATAGGTACATTGCATATTTGGTTTGTTGTAATAATTTCTCATGTTCATACTGGCCATTAAGACAGCTGTTCCTAACCCAATCACAAAATGAGACTTTATCATCTAAGAATTTGTTTTCACAGTCATTTCTCTACAATCAACACAAAAGGACACATTTCAGCAGAAGCACCGAACAGATGCAACCTGCCAAACATCACGTGCAACATAAAACATTTACAAACAAGTCCCACCCACCGTGGCCACTTATTTAGTGCTGCAATGGTAGACGGTATGAAGCTCCTACTAATTCAGGCTGTTCTCGTATTCTGTGCCTCCGTCTGGATGGCAATAATTTGAAGTTGTGATTAAGTGGGTGGTCTGTGTCATCTGCTATAGTGAGTGCTAGGCGTGTTATGGTCTGTGAATTTAGAAGCGACGTCTGTGATGCTGGGGAATTTGTTTTTGTTGGTGACAGAGAGCATGTTGTAGAAACAGGTGGAACAGTACAGCAGGGTGGGTTGGACTATGCTTTTGCAAAGTAACAACAGAAGGTGGGAGGCAATGAACAGTGCTCTGAGTTTACAGATGATGCGAAATCTATCGTCTATGGATGGAAGTGATGTGTTGATCAAAGCTGAGTTTATTGTCAATATTAAGTCCAAAGTATCTGAAGTGGTCAACCTGGTCTGCTGTTCTTCCATGAATGGAGGTGGGGTTCAGTCCAGTGTGGGGTGTGTTTGATGTGCTAATGACCACTTCCTAACTCTTGTCAATGTTCAGCTGTAAGAAGTTGTTTGTGCACCACTGTAGGAAGTGAGCAATGGTGTTGTGATAGGCCGTAACAGAGTCATTGAGTAATCCCAGAAGTGCAGTGTCACCAGTGTATTTGAAGTATGTGTGTAGAGGAAGGGACATTTTGAATCTATAAGAGGTTTCAGCAGTCTGCGCTGGACAAATCAAGGTTTTATCTAACACAAGTGCTATGTTTTGGTACAAATTCCCTCTTTGTGTTTCCATCCCTCCCTCCACTGTAGCTCAGCAACCAAACACTCCAAAATAGACTTGATTAACTCAAAGACTCACATCAAGATAAACTGTGAAAAACTGGATGTCAACAAATTTCCTTCAGCTCAACTCAAACTCCAACAGGCATCCTTGTGATTGGGACACAACAGATAACTAAAAAAATACTGCCATCTATTGACCAACATGTTGCTTGAAGTCTAGTTCTATTGTCTGACTCTAACCTTTCCTTTAAGCACTGTACCACAGAAGTTGTCCAATTGTTTTTTTTTCACCATCTCAGTAATACTACCAAAATTAGATCCCTTTTAAAATCTAGAGAAGCAGAAACTTTCATAGATGCTTTTATTACCTCATGATGACTGCAACTACCTTTTCTCTGGTTTCAATCAGAAAACTCTGATAAATGAATTATAGAGGTCATGGCTGGTTTATCATTTTAACATTGGCTCCCTGTTTGTTAGATAATTGATTTTAAAATTGCAATGATTACTTTTATGGCTTCTTGTGTCCTGGCCCCACTCGAAATGTCTGATCTCTTATTTCTATGTTAAGTTGGAATCAATTGCCTGAGCAAATAAGGCTGTTGGGACAGTGTCTTCTTTTAAGTCTTGGCTAAAGATCCTCTCTTTTTGGAAGCCATAATTCTGATATAACTTGGGGTGCCAGGTTATAATTTTCTTTTATTATTATTATATTATTATAATTATTTATGTACTTCCTTCTGTATTTTAACCATTTGTTTTAGGTTGTTTTTAAATTATATGTGCACTAAATTTGAGGAGCACTGTTAATCTCATTGTATCCTGTACAATGACAATCAAGCTGCCTATTCGATTCTGTTCTGTTGTGAAGCATGTTTCACTTGAAAGTTAATGTTAATATCATTATTAAAATTGGTGATATTGTTGTTTTTAATATTATTACACTATTATGTCTCAACCGTTCATGTTGGCCTCTGTAACTTAGGGTCTCCTCTTTGTGCCTCAGACAAAGTTAGATTCCATTGTGACTAGAGGCAGACAGTTGTGAATCTATAATTGAAGTAGTATTTGGAATACTTGTGGTGGGGTTTGTGTACATTGGACTCTTCTTCCATCCTCTAATACAACACGACGACTCATGCTTCTCACCGGGCCGTGTGTCTCCACAGCGCCCTCTCACTGTCAGGACCCGAATCGCCCCTTTCTTTTCGTCTCACCGCTTTTGTCGACCGCACCTGAGGAGAAGCTCGCGCGCAGGTTCGTTTTCAAGGTTTGAATTATCAGAGAAATCACACAAAACGTGATCGAAATCAACAGACATCGCATTCTGCTTCATCCACGCACATTTCTTGGGTTTAGTCCTTCTGCGAGATCACGGTACTGCAGGTGAGCTAACGCTAGCTAATTAGCTAGCTGACAGCCGCGGGTCAGCCTCGGGGTTCAAAATGTCCACTGCACTTTCGAAAGCTGGGATTTGTGTCAGAGCCCGATGCTGCTCACCGACTCTCTGCTGTCTCACAGGGTCTGAGGAGTGGCTGTGGACTGACGGGGCCACGCAATGTTCAAGATATCTATTCTGAAGGTAAGTTAGCTTTTCATCTGTTAGCTGGGGTTAGCGGTGGATAAGATGGTTGATGTGAATGCTTGTCTCTGGTTACAGGTGGAGAGTGGTTCATTTATTGTGGATTTTCATCATGTGTTGATTCTTTCAGCCGGATCAGATTTGAAAGTTATTAGTTGATAAATCTTCATTTTGAAAGCCACTCAAGTTTTATCACAATTATTATCAAATAATAACTGAAAAAGACATTTGGAAAGGTCATTAATCAGAGTTACTTATTGTACTTACTTTGAATTTTTTAATAAAGAGACGTTGATGTGCATGCACTGTTCTATTCTCAATAAAATATGATATAACCACAAAATGTTAGCCCGCTGTTTTAAAGTAGTATAAATGGATAATAATGGAATTTTATAATTTGAGAATATTTTTACTCATGTCTTTAACGTGAGAAATTCTAGTCCCCTTTTTTTTTATCTTGTACACACAAGGAAGCACAGAGGAGAGATGATTCCCAATTCTGCCAATGGTTTCACATTTTACATCAAACTTGGATTGTGAGGAGGGTTCTCTTTGAATGGCTTTGTCTTGCTTTCGTGTGGAAACCAAAAGATTTATTCTTTTCCCAATTGGAATAGATATTTTAATATTATTTAGTAATTTCCTTTTGAAATGAGTGTGAATCTACTGTATTTGGCTTGTTTGTAACAAAGTTGTTGGACTGCAGGTTGAGAACCCCTCCTGCCTCTGGGGTCGGGTTTTTCGGAGTCTGGGCACTAACACAGAGACGACAGAGGAGTACGACAGTATGTTGTCGCAGATGAACCTCTTCTACCACGACGTTACTAAGGACCTGTTCAAACTGAAGCCCACGTCAATAGAGGAGGGGCAGGTAATGTCCACCTGCAGTCTATCTTCACCCATAATCTTACACACCTGCTCCAGGTAGGAGACACCTTCCTTGCAGCCTTAGTTGGAGTAGAGGTGAATTTGATGTGTGTGAACTGCATGTCCTCTCAGGTGTGTGTGGTGTACTGGTCAGTGAGGAGGTTGTGGTGTCGGGCTGTGGTGGAATCAATTATTACGGACTCTGTATCGTGTAAAGCTCGCTGCCTGCTGGTCGACCACGGTGAACGTCTCGTCGTTGCTTCAGACCAGTAAGATTGGAACATCATCCTCCACAACACCAGTCCACTGTCCTTTCTTGGGAGACTTTTAGTAGATTGCTTCTTGCTTGCCCTGTATTTTCGAGAATTTCCTCGACTGTGTGCATGCATTGATGTGTCATCCATGATGTTGTCACCCCTGTCCATTTGTGTGTTTGTATGCAAGATTACACAAAAACAACCGAATTGATTTCCGGATAAACTTGGTGTAAAGATACGTTGTCGGTCAGGGGAGAACCCATTAAATTGTGGGGACGATCTGCATTACAGGGCAGACCCAGGAATTTTCTTCTTTAACAATGTGAGACAGTATTTTTCTAAACTTGACTATTTTTTTCCAATTCATGGATCTTGATTTAATAACAATTCAGGGCCGTTTCGAGGACTGATATCTGTGTGTGAAATATTGTGCTGCTTGATTGAATTTAAGGGGACCGTGGTGGTGGTGTGCCTACTGCCGATTGCCGTTGTATTTAACTTTTGTGTTTTACTTCGGTCTGATAAGGATTCGAGTCGCTGCACAGAACTTCCTCCAGCTGCCTTTTTGGGTGAGGAGGTTCCACCTGGCAGGAATCAAACCAACAACCCTGCGAGTGTGTGTTTACCAGGAGAATGCAGAGCTTATGTAAGAGAAACTCATTGCATACTACTGTACCACTGAACAGTAGATGGACTTGTGAAGCACAACACACTATTTAGGCAATCTACAGTTCCTAAGTAATGCAAATACCCATCGTGTGTCCGTGTTGGGAAGTTTTATCTTTATTGTGAAAGTTAGACTCCATCCACACTAAATTGTTTTAGTGGTAGAACACATCACTTTACACGTCACAAGCACAGCATGTTTATGCCATTTGTTCACACTGCTTCGAGCACTTTCTCTGATGGGGCCTTCTTTTCCTCTGCAGCCCGACCACTCATTGGGACAGCTCAGCTACGCTCTACCTACACAACCTGCTACATGGTGAGCAACATGGCAGACAGTGTTTTTCATTTCATCTATTAATATAGCTCTAAACTGTTTTGCAGTAAGATTGGTGGTAAAACATATCTGAATTCTTGAGGAGACACTTGAAAAGTTTCCTTCCTTTTGAAATTCAAGCTTCAACTTGGACAGAGGCTGTGATGCTTGAATCTGACTCAGACTCCACCTCCATCGAGCTCTACCTAACTGTTGGAAACATCAAGGTGAACTTTTACCTTCCAAATGTAGGACACAACAAATGGCATTAATTGAGAAAAAATCAAAATAGAAGTAAAAAAATATAGTTATAGTTAAAGTATTTTTATGTATAAGATATGCTTTCTGTTTTTAATTATTGTATATCGTGATATCTGTCTCAATTTGCATCTTCTCTTTTTTTATTTGTTTACTATAACTTGTATTTTTATTCTCAAAGAAAAAAGTTCCTTTAATTCCATTAGTTTTTTTTTCCAGATCTGTGTGAACGATGACCTTGTGGCCAAGAAGTTTGCCTATTATACCAGAGAGTCTGCAGAAACCAGTGGGTTGGACGAGGTGGATCGATTTCCCATCATGTTGTCCTCCAGCATCTTGACCCAGACAGCCTCCATAACGTCACGCAAGCCGACAAAAAAAATAAAACCACCTGCTGGTAAATATACAGATGAGGCTGCCTGTTCAGGGCTTTTCGGCAGTGATAGACATCAGGGTGGATTGGTCTTTAGAACATTGGGTGTGGACACACTGCTGTTTGTGACTGAGAAAGCTTAAGGAAACAGCAGTTTATCTGAAGGTCATGATTCAGCTCATTGCATGATCTTCATATGCAGAGGGACTTTTGCAGATGTTTAAATGTCTGTTTTATAGAAATTGTAAGAACTTGAAGCCAACATGGATTAAAAAAACACCAAGTCATCAGAAGAAATTCAAATTTGAACATCTACTGTTCCATCCCAGCTGAGGAAACTGTATCTGCTGATTATCATGCGACATGATAATCCAGAGCATCTATTAATACAGGACCAAGGTCAGATTTTGTCAGCTGTAATGGTATTGACTTGTGAGAATATTACATTTGTGCTTTTATTGCTCCCCATCACACCCTTTCATTTCTTAAACAGATTTGAGCTCATATATATTTTCCCATTTAAAATGACCTTGTAGTATCAAACAATACCATGATTTGCTATTTTAAAGGTACAGTGTGTAGAGTTTTGTGATATCTAGTGTTGAAATTGCATGTTGCAGCTGAACACCCCTCACCCCACCCTGCCCTCCCAAACATGAAAAAGAAACTGTGGTAGCTTCAGTTGTCATAAAAACTCAAAAGGTGTTTAGTTTGTCCAGTCTGGACTAATGTAAAAAACATGGCGGCCTCCGTAGAGAGGACCCCCTCAATGTAAATATAAAGTATTTAAATATAAAGGGCCTTTTCTGGGGTAAAGAAAACTACAATTCATACAATTTAGATGAAACAAACTAGTGAAAACATCATGAGAATTATTCTACATTCAATTTCTGCCAATAGTTCCCTTTCACCTAAATCTTACACACTGGACCTTTAAGTCAATTGTATGTGTTTGAATTAATACAAAACTAAAAAAAGTGAAATACCTTTTTAAATCTGTTTCATAATCTGACTTACCTATCTGATTTAACCCTCAGTGACATCAGAATGTCTGGCTGCAGGCAGAGCATGTGATTGGCTGACAGCACCCTCTCCACCACAGGTGAGCAGCTCCGCTCTTTGTGTTGATGTCAGTAGTGCAATAAATGTCCACACATCCTGACCTCTGACCTTTCTGCTGTTTCAGAGCCAACAGCATGAGCTGAGCACCTCTGATGGAGACTGCAGGCCAAACATCACAGAAGAGCAACTGTCTCCAGGCAGCCAATCAGGGAGCAGCTCTCAGCCTGCTGCTGTGGAGAGGTAAACACATACTATTCAAGTAAGTCAGTCAATAAATAATCGAGTGAAGTGACCTGCTCCTGTGCTTTTTCAGTGACTCACCAGACGACACCGACTCCTCTCTGGCTGCAGCTCTGACTAGAAACCTCAGTTTGTTCAAGTGAGAGCTGATCTCACTCACATACAGTACCTCTTATTTGATTGACTGAAGTCATCAGCATGTTGAACGTTTTACTAATTGGTTGATACTGAGAGAACACGTCCTCTCCTACAGGTTCATGAAGTTTCTGAATCCTGGCAGCAGCCATCAGCAGGAGGCTCACAGTGTAAGTACATATACAAGTGTTCTCTCTAGTGAAGGCCATTTGTTTTAAAGAACAATGATTATGTGCAACCTGATCGCTGAAGGTGTGACATAGCAATGCTCTATGCAAACTATTTTCTGTGTCGTACAAAGAAATTTAGGAGCATGGTTAAAAATGTAACTATTTATTATGTACATATTTTTTGCAATTGATTTCATGCATATTTGATGTGCTTGTGTTTATGTTGGATTAAAGTTAACAGGCTCCTCCACATTTTGTCCAAATGCTGGCAACATCATATTAGCACTGTTATGCCGACAGTTTATGGTACCTGTAAATCTTGGTTTAACAACAGTGCTACAATCATTGGATTATCAGGTGTAAGGAGCTGCTGATGTAAATTGACTCCAGGTAAGTAGAGTCTTGCAGAAAACTAGATGAATATAATAAAACAGTCTAAAACTGATTGAAGTAGCTCAGACAGGGCTTTCCATCCACAAGGATATGGAGTAACTAGCCAGTGCAAAAAAGAAGGCTGTCAGTGAGGTGGTGGGGCATGGCCCCCATGGGGGGGGGAAATTGGTTATAAAAGCCACTATTCCTTCATACACACTTAACTATGGTATATTTTTAATGGCTTTTCATTAACATTTCATTATTAACACATAGTGAATCATTAAAATAAAAATTAGGAATAAGAAGAGTAAGAATGTAGAAAATTCCTCTGTGACAAGATAAACCAAATGTAAATCATAGATTAAATGTATAAGAATGAGAAACACATTGATTCCTATCACCCTGGGCAACTCTGGGAGTTTCAAGAACCTATGCTGTGCATTGAGGTGAGCCCTAATATATTTAGCTGGTGTTGCTCTACTTCCTGCACAAGCTCAGGGTACTTCCCTGCCAGAGAGGTTACAGTACAAGTTCCTAGAGCTAGTCTGAGATTCCAGGTTCAGCACAACAAGGCCGTTGCCTTTTCCTGCTTGCACATCACTGTTGTGCGATACCTTGGTCAGTCCACATGGTGGTGGCTCCATGTTGTGCTATGGGCTAGGCTTCACTATGGGTGAAGGCCTGACCACTAAATGCTCACTGGTAAGCCTCTTCCCCTATTTCTGGTGAGGTTACCCTCATCATTTCATCAGTTTCATCATTTCAGAGTTTTTCTGAAGTGCCCTTTGTTTCTCTTCCAGGTTGGTGAGCTTGAAGAGCTGAACAACTGTCAACCTAAAGAGCTGACTACAGCCTCCACCACCTGCACAGGACAGGAAGAGTACGCTTCTAATTGGTCTTTTAAAAATTCAGTGAATTGACTATTCAGCTGACCAATTCTCACTCACCACTTTGTTTCACAAAACGTCAGTTTCAGATTCTTCCCCTTTTTCATTCCATTTGTGTTTGTTGCAGGTCGTTACCAGTTAACACTACTGATTCAGTACATGTTGTGTGTAAAATATTTACCACACTTTTTTTCTTTGTTTGATTTGTTTTCAGATTAACCCCTTTACGCAACAGTGAGCCTGTAACACCAGACGAGGATGTGGTCCATATGAGGTGAGGAAACTGGCATGTGGCATTGAGATTGATTGATTTCTTGCTTCACTTCTTAACCTTAGTTAAACGAGCTGACGTTTTTGGTTTCCTTTTTGTTGACTGAACTGATCTCTCACCTTCAGTAGCTTCAGTGTTACATAAACTGACCTGTCTTTGCAAAGTGATCTAATGATTTATTAATAAATTGTAGCTACTGTATGATAGTCCCAGAACACACACTCTCTCACTCTCTATCTACCTATCCTACCATTTAGGTAAACGCAACATTTTTCACTGTGCCTTTTGGCACTGCAATAATATACCTATTTCACTTTTTCTTGAGAGTTCCCATATATATTGGTAATTCAATAATCGTTTCACAAGATTTTGATTCAATTCATGATTTGATTCAATATCTATTCAATTAAGGATATTTCTTTGTACAATATCAATTTTGACTGGATACGAACGAAATTCTCATAACTTAGGCTGCAAGCTGTGCAATGAGTTCTCTAACTTGGTGCATTATTCAAAATATTGAGGTAGACCTGCCACAACAACCACTTGTGTTGGACAATATTTTTCACAAAAATTATTGCAGTAAATGTTATTATTGTCATCATTGTGAAACCATTTTAAGCCACTGGTGTAATGATAATATCATAGTATATAGAAGTACACCCTTTCAAAGAGCAGTGAACTTTTAATTCTAAAGAATATTCAATCAGTTGATATGAATTAAAAATAGGGTTAAACAAAACATAAACCACACACAACCAAAGCAATAAATAAAATGGATACTGGCTC